TTATGTTTTGGTTCTTAGATCATATAAGGTTGTATTTCAGAGACGTAATCACGATGCGAATTGCGATTTATCTCTGAACATCAACCCTAGGTTTCGTACTTCTTTGTTTGTAATTTCTGTCGATTAAAGGCTCATATCTGGATTTTTGGAGTACTGATCATTTTTATTTTTATTTGTAGTCAACTATTAATATTCATTTCCTTTTATATTTTCAGTCAATTACTAATATCATATTCATTTTTAGTCAATTATTCTTTTTTATTCTTTAAGGTAGAAGTTTGTGGGCTCCTCCATTTAGTTGGATGGAGAAGCCATGGAAGGCTTCTCCATCTAGTTCTGTCCAACTGGACGTAGAGGCCTGCATGGCTTCTCCGCCCAATTGGACGGGACAAAGACGTTGGATTGTCGGCTTCTTTTATTATTATTATTATTATTATTATTATTATTATTATTATTATTATTATTATTATTATTATTATTATTATTTTAAAGTATTTTCAAATTATTTAAAAAAAATAAATGTAATTTTATCTGTTATTATCTTAAAGATAACCAGCATCAAACACTCCTATGACCTGTACGTCCATTTACTAACTATATGTGGTTTTGGTTGGTTGAAGATTTGTATAAGTTGCAATGCTAAAAAATTCATCACTTTATCATGTGTCACAGTAAGTGAGCATTAAATTTTATACTATTATAATTATTGCAAATCAAACTTTGAAGATTTCATAATTTTTCCTGTTGATTGATTATAATATCATTGGAACAGAGCTGTATAGGTGGACTACTATGAAAGCTTGTATACTCTCACTCATGTTACCTTCCAAATACTGTGAGTTGCAAAACATGCTGCAACACGGTTAGCTTATGAAGAAATTCACTCCCATTATAAAATCAGTGTGGAATACGTACACATGCTAAAGGGATGCATGGATGTATTTTGTGGATTAAATGCACTTTAGCATTTGATATTCAATTTTCTTCTCACTTTAACTTTTTCTCCACTGCAGGTCTTTGGTCATCTGTTGTATTTGATGCGTGATGAAGAGAATGTTGTCCAAAGATGAGTTGCATTAGCTCTAGTTCATTTCTCATCACCAGATGACCATCAAACTATTTCTCTTGATAACAATAGTAAGATATTTTTTTTCCATGATTAACTATAGGTCCGACTTATGTAACAATTATGCATAGTTAAATTATATTTTATTAACATATTTAATAATTTGATTAATTAAATTATTTTGTAGGCATTTGGAGGAAATACGTACTCTACCAACGAAATAGATAAGATTCGAGACATAACTTATGAGTAAAATACTTTTTGGAAGAGTACGTGTAATTTTTGTTTTAGATTAAATATTATCTTGTGTTGATAACTTATTATTGTGTTGAAAATATTGGGTTGATATTAAAGTATTGTATTATTGATAGTATTTGGTTGAAAGTGTGTTGATAATACTTTGTTAATATATAGTATGTTTATAGTATTCTGTTTTGATGATTTGTTGATAATAATATTGTGTACTGATGGTTAGTATTGTGTTGATATGTAGTGTATGTGAATTTTGTATATTTTTTTAAGGGGGATTTAAAAATAATAAATAATTTTTTTTTTAAAAAACAATTTGCTACTGATGGGTAAATACGTACAGAAGATTGATCCGTATAGCCGGTCCGTCAAGAAGTCATTCGACCAGTCCGTTACGGTCATCGTCCCGACAGGAATAAATCACTTGTGGTCAACCGTACCGTTCGTACCGATAGGCCTCGTGAGAAAAGAAGATGCTTTCGGATCACCCTTGGAATCGCCCCGACAGAAAGTCACCCGGGCGGTCTACCGTAAGGTGACCGGTCGGCCTGCAAGATGACATAGCCTGCAGAGCCGAAAACGTAACTTGCACGACAAGTCTTAGGGTCCAACTTCCACTCGCAGAGCGGCAGTGGATAGCTTGCAGGTAGGGCGGCACCGCTTCCTCGATCAGTCAACCTACGCATAGCTGCAGAGCGACCGCCTGACTGAGCCAACGAGAAGACGCCACGTCGATCCACTTGCAGCAGGCGCATTAAATGCGTAGACCGACTTAGACATTATAAATAGGAGGGTCTCCCCTTCATTCTGATATCTTCATCTCCATCTCATTGTAACTACTACTCACTACATTGCAACCCGCTTGTAACCTACTACTTATTACTTGTAATACTACACAGCCTTGGACCGCTCAGTCGTCGCCCGGCAGACCGACCGACTGACCGACTGACCGACGAGCGCTCTGTTCTACTCGTTCACAAACATACGTATTCGTAGTGTAATCGTAACCCCCGGTTCAAATTACGCTATCATTGGCGCCATCCGTGGGGACCTGAACGAGTCACTCTCTGTCCCGTTACCATTTTTTCCACATCTACCTCGCTTGATCGAAATGGCAAACAGCAGGAGGAGCCGGAGCCAGAGCTACGTGCAGAGGGAAGGATCAACCCGCCAGGTTGGACATCACCCCGACAATATGGCTGAAACACTCCCCGAAGATGATCTTCGAAGACAGTTGGAACGATCACGAGGACTGATGAACGAGCTCACCTCCAACCACGGAGGACAGGATACACAACCCACCCATCCGGTCGGACAGAATCCCGACCAGCAGCCTGGACGCACGATCGTCCACCCGACCATCCCAGTACCTTGGAATGGCGCAATCAATCCCAATCTTACGATGCCGATAACGTACACCATGCTACCCCCGACAGGTCAGATGTTGCCACCAACGCCGGGTGCACTTGGAGAAAACCCCATACAAGGAACACCGCAACAGGGATTCACTCAGGTTTATCAACCATGGTCTAGAATGTCGGGGTACTACGTTATAGCGCCAACCCCGCAAATGATGATGACCCCCCAAATTCCAGTCGTGGAGCAGCATCAACTAGTGGCTCAACCACCCCAAGAACACCAGCACCCGCAACCCCAAGATCGTGACCCTGAAGAAATCCAGTCAGCAGATCGGTCGCGAAGGTCTAATCGAGAAGAGCGCCAAGATCATCGTCAACCTGACCCCCCTTAGCGTGGGAGTGTCCTCGATCGTATCCGGAAAAGTGTATGGTCTTGGTTAGGACCCCAAGACGACTAGGACCGCTCAAGACAGAAATCCCAAAGGACCACGGAGACCGAAGGAAGCAGCACCGGAAGCGCGTCGCGATTCAGAGGAGGAGGAGGCAGGACTGGCCGGCTAGCCGGTCGGGTTGGTGATCGACCGGCCAGAAGGGAGAGACACCCGAGTAGAGAAGATAGTCCTGGCCGTCAGCTAGCCAGGATGCAAGAGAGGATAGACCGTCTACAGCAAGAACTCCGTGAAAAAAATGGCGCAAGTAAAGAGCCACCCACTTCACTGATCGCGACTCCTTTCACCGACGACGTCATGAACACACTTTACCCGCAAGATCTCAAGATCCCGATGATGCGAACATACATCGGGCGGTCTGACCCTCAAGAACACATCTGATGGGGTATGGACCCCGGCCCAAGAAGAGCAAGCCCAAAAGGTGAAGTCCAAGAAGGATGGAAGAGCCCAGAACGAGTAAGGCACGGCCCAGTGGGTGAAAGTTTGGACCAGTAGCAGGGCCGACAGAGGCCTGGACCGAGTCCAGGAGGCGGCCCAGGCCCAGGGCAGAGTGAGGACTCGACGAGAGCCGTTGCGCGGCATTTATAGCAGCATTTAAAGGGCTCGACCAGTGAGCCGTTGAGAGGCCCAAAAGAGCCGTTGGCCAGCCTGGTAACGGCACCTAACGGCCTTAAAGCATAATTAGCACTTAAGGACCTTTTAATGTGTTTTAACTCGGTTTAATGGAGGGCCTACTATATAAAGGCCCCTCCATGAATGTAAAAGGGAGGCCCAAAGAAGAGAGGGAGACACCATTTTCCTACTTCTGTTTATTACTTTCATTTTCTAGAGCTTTTTATTGAAAGGTGAATCCACCGATCAAGGTTGTGTTGGACCTCCCTAGGCCCAAAAACCTTAAAACCGACACTGGCGCCGTCTGTGGGGATCGAAACAAAGAGTCACGAGAAGAATAGGAAAAGTGAAGAGAGAAGAGAACTTTGCAACATGTCGGAAGGACGAAGCCAGGCCTCCAACCGTAACCGCGAGCCTGAGGCCGACTTAAGAGATCAGCTGAATCAACGGAACGCACAAAGTCAAGAAAATGATTCAGCGCCCCCGAATCAACCCCCGCCAATGATACCTCTCACCCCCGAACAGCTTCGGGCCGTTGGACGAGCTATCGTTGCTGAAAACCGGGAAAGAGGAGAACAGTCGACTTCACGACCACCGCCCCGCAATCGACAACCACCCCAAAGGTCGGAAGAAGGCAGACAAGGAGATCGACGAGCGGAGAACCTGCCAGCGTGATCGTTCCATTCGAGGCTGGGCCCGAACGCCACGCGCCAATCAGCGAGAGAGCGACGAGGAGAAAGAGAGCCCAGTCGCGCACCGGCGAATCAAAATCGAGAGACCGCCCGAGAGAGAACCCGTACCAGAAGGACTAGGACTCAAGCACGACAGTCTGAGCGACCCACTCGCAACAACGATTGGCCGGCCGATTCGAAAGTCGGCGAAAGTACTGAGTCCACGGGGAACCACACTCGGAACGCTGGTGACGTGGCTCACCTGGCTCGGGAACTGCGAAACCTGAGGGAGCAAGTGGAGGGAAGGACCAAATCCCCTAGACGAACGTTGCTTACCGCCTTGCCTTTGTTGACCGAGGTTATGACTTACAAAATACCCGGCGACTTCAAGTTCCAGGAGCAGGCCACTTTCGACGGATCTGGCTATCCGCGGGAGCACATTCTAAGCTATCAAGCTAAAATGCAGGTTTTAGGAGTCCGAGACCCTGTCATGTGTCGCGCTTTCCTGCCAACACTGAAGGGCTCGGCACAAAGATAATTGGTGGCTCTGCCCCCAGGGTCGATCCACAACTTCGAGGAGTTAGCCGATCACTTCATGAGCCATTACGCGGCCAACATCAAACCACAGAAAGATCTGACCCATCTGGGAGATGTCCATCAAGAGGAGGGCGAATCTCTCAAGATCTATCTGGCCCGGTGGCAAAAAGAGATCCAGTCCATTGAAGAGGTTGAGGACCAGACCGCCCTCACCTTCTTCATCGAATCTTTACGATCTGGGCAGCTATACCATGACCTACGGGATAACCGGCCAGCCACCTACGCGGAAGCCATACATATGACTAACAAACTGGCCAACACGGAGCAAGCCATGAAACACAAGCGACATCGAGAAGTCGGAGGATCCGTTAGAGGAAAGCGAACCCGCGGAGACACAAAGGAAAGGCGCTCGGAGCCAACTAGGCGACCTGAGGCGCGGCGCCCGTATGACAGGCCTAGCATCCAGCCTTATCGGCCGATTCCCCAGCATCCGGTGCATGAGGTGCAAGCGGTCGCGCCTCCTCCACCTCCCCCTAGTGAGGAGCGCGCAGTGAACGAGGACCCAGGTAAGACATATAAATACTATCGCTATCATAAGTCGTACACCCACAACACAGAAGAATGTTATTATCTGAAAAAGATCATGGAGGGGATCATCCAGCAAGGAACACCGCCTCCCAACCAGTGGCGGAGAAGGTCGGCGACCAAGGAAGACAGCGACCCCCTAGGGGCGGTCGAAGGCAGTCGCGGCAAACAGCCGGCGACCGATGAAGGCGAGACCAAGTGGAGGCAGAAGCCGGTTATCAATATGATAGTCTGTGGACCTGAGAGAGGCGACTCTGCGAACACCAGAAAGGCCTGGGCCCAACAATTGTACGTAGGGACAGTGTACGGACGAGAGGGTGGCTCGAAGAAAGCCTGCCGAGAGCCTATTGTCTTCACAGACAAGGATCTACCCACAGGCGAGACACCACATCGCGATGCCCTAGTCATTGCGATGGACGTGAATGGGGTAGTCGTCCGGCGGATCCTGGTAGACACCGGGAGCAGCGTCAACGTCTTGTACCTCGAAACCTTCTTCAAGATGGAACTGTCACGTGAACAACTGATCCCAGTCAAAACGCCACTCGCCGGCTTTATGGGCGACTCTGTGGAGGCTGAGGGATCTATCACCCTGCCGGTGGAGATCGGCAGCTATCCCGACGTACAGAAGCTGGACATGAAGTTCATTGTGGTCAACTTGGCGTGTTCTCACAACGCGATACTCGGCCGACCGGGTTTAGAAGATTTGGGAGCACTGATCTCCATTGAGCATCTCTGCTTGAAGTTCCGCACGCCGAGTGGGGTGGGTATGGTCCGTTGCGACAGGAGAGTCACCCGCGACTGCTACCTGCAAGCTTGCAGAGGCATGGGCAAGCATGAAATGCAGGTTCATGAGATCATAGGGCAACCTCTAAAGAAGACTATGAGATCATAGGGCAACCTCTCATGAAATGCAGGTTCATGAGATCATAGGTCGATGAAGAGAAAACAGCGTTCCTGACCTCGGATGGGGTGTATTGTTACCAAGTCATGCCATTCGGACTCATAAACGCAGGAGCCACGTATATGCGAATGGTCGCCCGGTTATTCCAGGACCTATTGGGAAAATCTATGGCGGCCTACGTAGACGATATGGTAGTAAAAAGTCAGGAGGAAATCAATCATGGCAGGGACTTGGCCGATTGCTTTCAGGTAATGCTTAAATACAATTTACGGCTTAATCCAAAAAAGTGCGTTTTCGCCGTGCAAGGTGGGAAGTTCTTAGGGTATATGGTTACTAAGAGGGGCATCGAGCCCAACCCTGAGAAGGTACAGGCCATTATGGATATGCAGCCTCCCAGCACCGTTAAAGACCTACAACGGTTGACTGGTCGACTGGCTGCCCTGAGTCGCTTCCTAAGCAAGTCGGCGGACAAGACCGTGGCCTTTTTTGAGGCTGTGAAGAGGAAGGAGGGTTTCGTGTGGACTGCCGAGTGCCAGCAATCATTCGAAGAGCTGAAAAAAATACCTTTCTACACCTCCGGTACTGTCCACCCCTCAGGTTGGTGAGCCATTGTTTTTGTATTTAGCAACATCCCTCAGGGCGGTAAGTTCGGTGCTTGTCCGAGAGGAGGAATGTACTCAGCACCCGGTATACTATGTAAGTCGTTCTTTGAAATCAGCCGAAAAGCAGTACACGCCCTTGGAGAAAATCGTTTACGCTTTGGTGATCACCGTGCGTAAACTGGCACCCTACTTCCAGGCCCACACCGTTCGAGTCTTGACAGATCAACCCCTGGGTGGCGTGTTATGGAATCTCACGTCATCCGGTCGGCTCGTGAAGTGGGTAGTAGAGCTGACCCAATACGAAATCGAGTACCAGCCTCGCCCGTCGATCAAGGGATCGGCCTTGATCGACTTCTTGGACGAGTGCACTGCAGGAGAAGAAGACAAGGACGCCATCTCGGAGGATGGCCCCGGCGAATGGTGGGAGATGCACGTGGATGGAGCGGCGAGCCGCCAACATTGCGGCGGCGGAGTCATGTTGATTACCCAGAAGGGTTCAGGCTTTATTACACTCTGAGCTATCTATTCCAGACATCTAACAATGAGGCCGAATATGAAGCTGTATTGGGAGGTCTACGACTCGCCAAGACACTAGGGGCAGGATGCCTACGAATCAAGACCGACTCTCGTTTGGTGGTGGGACAAGTGTCCGAGACCTGCGAGGCTAAGAACGCCCGGATGGCTCAATATAAGGAGAAGACGGTAGAGCTATTGAAGGGATTCGGCACCTACGAGATAGAGTATATCTCGCGAGCCGACAACACAGAAGCAGACATACTGTCAAAAATCGCTCTGGAAGGCGTGCCAGATCATCTTGTCAGAATCTGCCAAAAGGAGGAACTGGTCCGACCAGCATAGAGGAAGCGGCCCTAGAGATCCGGGCAAGTGACAACTGAAGAATGGGACCGAGTGAAGAAACCTGAGATGTTCTGGATAGAAGATATTCGACGCTATAAAGAGAAGGGAGAACTGCCGGAGGACCCCGGAGTCGCCGCCCGGGTCCGCCGCAAGGCTCCGTCGTTCGATATTATCGATGGACAATTGTATAAACGGTCATTTGGGGGTCCCCTCCTCCAATGCTTACTCAGAACCGAGGCGGAGAAAATTATGGACGAGGCTCATCGTGGAATCTGCGCAGCCCACCAGGGCGCCCACACTCTCGCCCAGAAGTTGGTTGTTCAAGGCTACTACTGGCCCACTATGATGAGAGACTGCATCAAGTGGATAGCCAAATGCGTGATTTGCCAAGCATTCGCTCGAAAAGATACTCGGCCAGCTACTTTCTATACGCCAGTCACTACGGCCATCCCATTCGCGAAGTGGGGCATCGACCTGTTGGGCCCACTACCAGTCGCCCCCGGACGTTTAAAGTTCTGTGTGGTAGCCATCGACTACTTCACTAAATGGGTTGAGGCTGACCCACTAGCCATTATCACCGAGTATCAGTGCCGACGCTTCCTGTGGAAGAAAGTAATATGCCGCTTTGGATTACCTGAGCATGTAGTCAGCGATAACGGCCGACAGTTCGACTGCCAACCCTTCGCCGATTTTTGCCGAAGGCATAGTATACGCCACACTAAGGTGTCAGTCGCTTACCCCCAGGCCAACGGACATGTCGAGAATGCAAATCATACAATCGTGGACGGAATCCGGAAAAAGTTGGAAGACATCGGAGGAAACTGGGCGGACGAGCTTGACCGAGTTCTATGGGCCTACCGAACTACTCAGAGGAGGGCGACCGGTGAAAGCCCGTTGTCCTTAGCGTATGGCTTCGAGGCCAAAGTTCCAGTAGAAGTCGTCGAGCCCACCCACCGAGTCCGCAATTACTCGGATGAAGGAAACGAGGAAAGTCTCAGGATTGAAAAGAACTTTTTAGAAGAGCGAAGGGAAGCCGCCCGCCCGCATGGTGGAATATCAGCAGGCTATAAAGAGATATCGAGATCGACGGATTCGCCCACGAACATTTCAAGTAGGCGACCTCGTGCTGCGAGATCGACAGGTGAGTCAGCCCACGGAGGGAGGAAAGTTCGCGGTCAAGTGGGAAAGACCTTATCGCATTGTCGATGTGGTCCAAACCGACACATATAAACTAGAGACATTGGAGGGGAAGCTCGTTGACCGGATTGGGAATGTAATTCACTTGAAGAAGTTCTACCAGTAAATTCAAGTTCTATCAGCAAAAGGTTAGCCCCGTGTATTCACCTAAGGTTCGAATTTGAATAAAATACCATCACTTTCCGCATCTTGAAAACAGTTTCTGAGAAAGAAAAAGCCTAAGGGGTCGCCTCGACTGAGGGACTCGGCAAGAAAAGATAGGAAACAAGGGCCCAGACCCTTAGACGTTTCCGAGAAAAAGCCTACAAGAGTCGCCTCGACTGAGGAACTCGGCGAGAAAGTAAAGAAACGATGGGGCACTGACCCTAAACAGTTCCTGAGAAAGAAAAAGCCTAAGGGGTCGCCTCGACTGAGGGACTCGGCGAGAAAAGATAGGAAACAAGGGCCCAGACCCTTAGACGTTTCTGAGAAAAGCCCTACAGGAGTCGCCTCGACTGAGGGACTCGGCGAGAAAGTAAAGAAACGGCGGGGCCCTGACCCTGAATAATTTCTGAGAAAGAAAAAGCCTAAGGGGTCGCCTCGACTGAGGGACTCGGCGAAAAAGTAAAGAAACGACGGGGCCCTGACCCTGAACAGTTTCTGAGAAAGAAAAAGCCTAAGGGGTCGCCTCGACTGAGGGACTCGGCAAGAAAGGATAGGAAACAAGGGCCCAGACCCTTAGACGTTTCCGAGAAAAAGCCTACAGGAGTCGCTTCGACTGAGGGACTTGGCGAGAAAGTAAAGAAACGACGTGGCACTGACCCTAAACAGTTTATGAGAAAGAAAAAGCCTAAGGGGTCGCCTCGACTGAGGCACTCGGCGAGAAAAGATAGGAAACAAGGGCCCAGACCCTTAGACATTTCCAAGAAAAGCCCTACAGGAGTCGCCTCGACTGAGGGACTCAGCGAGAAAGTAAAGAAACGACGGGGCCCTGACCCTGAACAGTTTCTGAGAAAGAAAAAGCCTAAGGGGTCGCCTCGACTGAGGGACTCGGCGAGAAAGTAAAGAAACGACGGGGCCCTGACCCTGAACAGTTTCTGAGAAAGAAAAAGCCTAAGGAGTCGCCTCGACTGAGGGACTCGGCGAGAAAGGATAGGAAACAAGGGCCCAGACCCTTAGACGTTTCCGAGAAAAAGCCTACAGGAGTCGCCTCGACTGAGGGACTCGGCGAGAAAGTAAAGAAACAACGGGGCACTGACCCTAAACAGTTTCTGAGAAAGAAAAAGCCTAAGGGGTCGCCTCGACTGAGGGACTCGGCGAGAAAAGATAGGAAATAAGGGCCCAGACCCTTAGACGTTTCCGAGGAAAAACCTACAGGAGTCGCCTTGACTGAGGGACTCGGCGAGAAAAGATAGGAAGCCAGGGCTTAAGACCCTTAGACATTTTTCGAGGACAACCCGACAGGAGTCGCCTCAATAAGGGACTCGGCGAATGAAAAGACAAGTGCACTAAGAGTCGCCTGGATATAAGGGTTCAACAGAGGCAATCACAATACATAAACAGGAATCACATAAGTAGAAGAAAGGTGCAAGAGGAACTTTAAGGAGTTTTCATTCATTAAAAAGTCTGAAGGGGAGACCAACCCTTACAAAAAAGATTGTTAAAAAGCCCTAAACTATGGGGGAGGGGGTGTCGACAGCGACTTCCTCGACTCGTTCTTCTGCCGATGTTCCAGCCGGGGGAGCGGGTGAAGGGTCTTCCACTATAGGAGGTGGTTTAGCTGTTGCCGCTGGACTCGCCATAGGAGGAGCCATTGGATCTGCGGTCGCCGCGGGTGCATCAGCAGCCGGCAGGGGATCAAGTACCGGCTTAAGACCCAAGCTCTCTGGAGTGAAGGTCAAGTCGCGAGCTAGTAAGAGGGCGTGGATTTCCAGCTGCGCTTCACGATAGCCCAGACGGTAGTCACGCTTGCCCAGATCCAGAAGGTATTCATCTCCTTCTGGAGTCGCCAACCACTCCTTTGCCACCTCCTCCTGCCGTCTTGTCACCGCCAACTTCACGTCTGCCTCGAAGGCAGCTGACTTTTTGTAGTCGGCGATCGAGGTAGTGGCGATGGCTACCACCTTGTCTCGCTCTTCCTCCCACTGGCGGGTGACCCTCAGCAGCTCGGCGGTGTGGACCTCCCTCGTCTTGGTGTAAACCGCCTGTTCCTCCAGGCAAGCCTCCTCTGACTGGCGTAGACGAGTGGTGAGAGAATGCATTGTGGTCTTAAGCGCCCGCATCCGTTTCCGCAGCTCCAGCTGGAAGGTAAGGTTCTGGAAGAAGGAAGACACGTTAGCAACTGTTGGGAGAGAGGAAATCATAGAGAAAGTCTGGGATACTTACGCGGTAAGACTGTCGTAGGGAGGCCTCCAGGATGTACTCATCCTGCATCTGGCTCGCTGCTTCGAAGTCCTTAGGAAGAAGGACGTGCTCGGCCCAGTTTTGGACCGAGTAGCTGCCCTGCCAGATCTGGGCATTCTCTTCGAGTTCCAGGCCCAGTCGGATCTTCTTGGGAGGCGGCGTGTCCGACTGCTCCAATGGTCGCTTGGAGCATGGGCTCTCTATTGGAGCCGGAGGCAGCAGCCTAGAGGGAGAAGCAACGGGAGACGGCGACAGATCCATCACGTTCCTCGGTAGAGGTGGAGTCGCCCTAGGAGCCGGAAAAGGGAAAGATGGGGAAGTCGCTGGAGCACCCGTCGTTCGTTGCGACAGTCCGGTGTAGGGATCTCGGGTGGTCGGCCATGTCCGGTGTAGGGATCTCGGCTTCGTCCAAGCTCGTGGAGTCGGAGTCGTATGGACTTGCGTAAGAGAAAGTTAAAGGGTCAGCAGTCGGATCAAATAAGGAGATTAGGGAAAGAGAAGGTCGCGAAAAGCTACCTGTGGTGGCCGCGCCGGCTGGCAAAAGGCCCCATTTCGCCATGGCCTGTACTCGAGACCAGTACTTGACAGAGTAAGGTACAAAGCTCTTCAGGAACTCGGCACCCTGGATCGCGTCGTGGGTGAAGACAGCGCGCCGGGAGCAGGGTTTGAAGAGGGCAGCCGGCCATATGGTAGGGAAGGTGAAGGCAGTGAAAGAAGGGCGGGCGAAGAAGAAATATGGCTTCCAATCCTTTATGGAGTCTGGAAGACCCTCGAATAACTGACGCTCAGGACGGGCAGAGACTTGGACAAAACCCGGGGAGTGCGAGCCGACCTTGTTGACCGTAAATAAGAATCTAAAGAGATCTAGGTCGGGCTTACAAAGCCACCAGTGACATAAATTGATGAAACAGGCGAGAAGGCGGTGCAAGTTGGGCACGAGCTGACCCGGAACCAGGTTATAGTGGCGGTAGAAGAGAGAAAGAAAGGGAGAGGGTGGCACTCGAAAACCGAAAGTCACCGAGTGCAAGTGTACCAATACAACCATCCGGCGGGTCGTAGATTAACTGGCTTTCCGGGGAAAAAACGGTGGCTGAAGGCCCAAGAAAGAAGCGGGCCATGTCGAGGTCCGCCTTAGAAACCTGTGACGGAAATCCCGCCGGCCGGGGTATGGAGTCAAATTTACCCCTCGGCCGTTGGGCGCCCTTGGGAAGAGCTGCCACCGTCGTGAGAGGGGCCGGGCTCAGAGGAGTGACCGCCCCTGAGGATGAAGGGGCCGGTTGAGACGAAGACACCGATGGAGGACCAGACGGATCTCCATACGGCGAGGAGGAGTGGAGGAAGAAGATGAAGATGAAGATGAGGACGTAGAGGCGGGAGATTCCGCCGAGTGGCGAGAAGAAGAAGAAGAGGGAGAAGAAGACATGTCGATGGGAGGTGAGAGGACGTTTGCAATTAATACCCTCGAAAAGCGGAACGACGGTTGAGGCCTAGGGTTAGCCTAAGACGGCGCGTCTGGCCTCGGCCTAGGACGAGTAGAAATGACCCGGCCTATTAATGTAAGGCCCATCGTAGGTCACGGCCTCTGGGCTGCCTGGGTACGGGTCGAAGGCATCTCAAGAAGGATCGCTGGGCCAGGCCCACTGGTCGGTATAAGTAGCTCCGGATGAGCAAGGCCGAGTCCATTGGTCGATTCAGGAGTTGACGTCGACCTCACGATGAACAAGTAAAAGACGAAAGAATGACAATTTATTAATCATAAAGGGATAAGGGCCAACATCTCGGCCAAAGCTACAAGACAAAAGAAAAGACAGGTCACGAATCAGTCTTCTCTTCTGCTGGGCGAGTAGGAGGCGGGCCTTCCAGGAAGAACTGAGGACGAAAGGGCAGAGGAGTCGGCTCTGACTCCGGCATATCATCCAAGTAGACGGTAGGCTTCCCGTCATCAATCATTTGGAGGGGCCTCTCAAGGGCGCTGGGAGACATGGCCACCCCAAAAAGAGGAGGAACCTCCCACACTTCTTCCTCATCCAGTGCTGGCTCTTCCACTACGGACTCCACTCGGCGCTCGGTCAAATCTGTAGGAACCAAGTCCAACATATCCGGTGGCACCACGATGGGATCAGAGGTCGAGTCGCCCACCAGATGTCCACCGTTGGCTAGCCTCTGAAGTCGTAGCTTCTCCAGACGAGCGTGCTCCTTGTTGCGAATGGAAAAGCGACGATCGCCGATTCGATAGCTCATGATCAGAGTTGTTGGAGTAAAGAATGGTATGAAACATGAGCGAAAAGAAGCCCCTTATATAGCCAAAGGGGGACAAATATCCAGGCGAAAATCATGGGGAGAATCGTAACTGCCATCTTTGGGCAGGATTAGACGGAGTTCAGGAATCTTTGTCAGAGAACGGTTTCATCAACTTCGCTTGGGAAGAGGGAGATTCGCACTTTAATCGAAAAAGTAAGATATCTCAGGGATACGGAAGAGATCGCGAATGTCAGACCTTAGGGTCAAGCATCAGGCCGACTCGAAGACCGGTCGGCCAGTGAGCCTGGGCGAGTGCAAAACAGAATCTCGAAAAGAAATAAAAGATAATATTATTAATCAGAAAGGCGGTACACAGATCAATGAGCTTACTACATCAACATGTAAAATATATAAGTGCTCCTTTCATAGCCCTCCCTTGAAACTTCGCTGGCAGACTCCGGTCAGCACGATCACTCGTCGGGAGAAGAAGGCTCATCCCGAGAGAACATCTCCTCCGATGGTCCGGTAGGAAACGAACAGAAGGAATCCCAGAAAGCCGACATAATAGGCGGCACGACTGGAGCCACGTCGTCCGGGTATAGCTCCAAGTAGCGAGCGAAATCAGCATCGGTCAACAGATCAGTCGCCGGCCCATCCAAATCGTCGAGTGGGATAGTGAAGGTCATGCGGAAGGCTAGTTGCTCTAGAACCGCCACCTCGACGAAGGACTCGTCTTGTGCAGTAACCTTGGCCATAGTTGGAGGCGGGGGGTCGGCCGAGGTCGGAGTGTTCGCCGCGGAAGAAGGAGCAGTGGTCGGCGGCTGAGAAATAGAGGAAGCGGCACCAACATGAGGCCTTCGGGAAGAAGGTCGAGGAGCCTTCTTCTTGCCCTCTCTTTCTGACCTCGACCGCTTAGAGGGAAGGGGGCGACGAGGCGACCCAAAGTCTATCTTCTTTCCTTTCATAGGGGACCGACCCATGATTGATCAGAAGGAGGTGATGGAAAATGGAAAAACCAGAGTGTTATTTATAGGCTCCCCAGAGAGAGGGGAGGAATCTAAACGGCTCCGGTGAATCGAGCGAAATTGCGAAGAATCTGGGCGTTACTCGGACAATTAAATAGAAGATTCGCTGATTAAGAGGAAGAGAAATATTGCTACTTTCCCATACCCGAGTTAGAGGACCGGGTATGAGAAAGTGAGGGACTAGTTGATGGGGTATGGACCCCGGCCCAAGAAGAGCAAGCCCAAAAGGTGAAGTCCAAGAAGGATGGAAGAGCCCAGAACGAGTAAGGCACGACCCAGTGGGTGAAAGTTTGGACCAGTAGCAGGGCCTGACAGAGGCCTGGATCGAGTCCAGGAGGCGGCCCAGGCCCAGGGCAGAGTGAGGACTCGGCGAGAGCCGTTGCGCGGCATTTATAGCGGCATTTAAAGGGCTCGACCAGTGAGCCGTTGGCCGGCCCGGTAACGGCACCCAACGGCCTTAAAGCATAATTAGCACTTAAGGACCTTTTAATGTGTTTTAACTCGGTTTAATGGAGGGCCTACTATATAAAGGCCCCTCCATGAATGTAAAAGGGAGGCCCAGAGAAGAGAGGGAGACACCATTTTCCTACTTCTGTTTATTACTTTCATTTTCTAGAGCTTTTTATTGAAAGGTGAATCCACCGACCAAGGTTGTGTTGGACCTCCCTGAGCCCAAAAACCCTAAAACCAACAACATCGATATGTATTACGGCAACATGTTGATGTTAGGGGTGAGCGACGCAGTCATATGCAGAGCTTTCTTCGCCACCTTGGCTGGAAAAGCGGCCGAGTGGTTTAGAAAGTTGGAGCCACGGTCGGTTGGAAATTTCAGCCAGCTAGCTGACAAATTTGTGAGACGATTTGCAGTCAGCAGATTGAAAAAGAAGCCCTACACCTATCTTAATCCAGTCAAGCAGGACGTGGGAGAAGCCCTGTCCATTTTCTTACAAAGGTGGGATCGTGAGGTCGAACAGGTAGAGCCCATGGAAGATCAGGCGACGATCCACGCTTTCCTCACGCCATTTCGCTCCGGGGGACTCTACTACGACCTCATCTTCAATCCCCCCAAGACCTACGAGGAAGCAATCACCCGGGCCAGACACCATGCTGATGTCACAGAGGCTAACTTGGCCAAGAGACGGGACGAGCAGCCGGTCGGTCGGGATAGAAATCATGACCCAAGGAGGGACCGACAGCGTTTCAAGCAACGTGGTTGACCGAAAGACGGACCGCGATTCACTCCATTAACCAGATCCCTAGTGGAAGTTTTGCAATATGCCGAACAGTGCAACCTGGTCCACCCGCCAGAACCAATACCTGAAGGAACAGACAAGAACAAGTATTGTGCTTTCCACAAGACCAAAGGCCATGACACGGCGGAGTGCATAGCCCTACGCCTGGTGATTGAACAACTCATTCAGAATGGAGAGTTGGATCAGTTCGTGAAAAAGAACGAACAAGACAAGGAGAAGTTCAAGAAGAACGTGTGGAAAAGGAACCCCAGGGAGCAATCCAAGGCACCCGGTCCGCGCGGGTCATCTGATGATAAGGCGATCGGAAAGAAACCTATGATCAACGTCATCTATGGAGGCCCGGAAGGCGGAGACTCTTCACGTCAAAGAAAGCAATAGGCAAGGAATTTGTATGTCGGGTCAGTCCACTCGGAACCCCGGGAGAAAAAGAGGCGTGTAGAGCCGATTTTCTTCACTGACGAAGATCTTCCCATCCGCGGGGAAGCCCATAGTGACTCACTTTTCATCACGATGGACATCAATGGGACGGAAGTCCAACGAGTGCTAGTTGACACAGGATGTTCGGTGAACATTTTGTACTTCGACGTTTTCACTCGGTTGGGTCTAACGACCGACCAGCTGATTCCTATTCGGACCCCGCTATCAGGTTTCACCAGTGACTCTATAGAGGTAGAGGGAGTCATCATCTTGAATGTGGAATTAGGCGTCCAGCCAAATATCTTGAGGACTATCATGGAATTTGTGGTAGTCAAATTGAAATGTGTTCACAACGCAATACTCGGTCGACCGGGTATCTCCCAAACGGCCGCCGTCATATCAATGAACCACCTATGCATGAAGTTCCACACGCCAAACAGGATCAGAGTGGTTCGTGGAGACCAACGAGCTTCCCGTCAGTGCTACATACAAGTAGTCAAGTAGACCGACCGCGAAGAGGCTAGGATCCATACCATATCCCAGCAAGTTGACGGAGGTGAAGAAAAGGAGAGACCACAACTAGCTTCAGAGATGGAAGATATTGTGTTTAACCCCAACCGGCCGGAGTAGGTAGTTAGGATTGGTCAGAACCTACCGGTCGGTCTACGGGAAGACGTCATCGGAGTATTGCAGAAGTTCAAAAATATCTTTGCTTGGGGACCAGAGGACATGCCTGGTGTCGACCGGTCGGTCATATGTCATCGATTATCTTTCCAACCGGGCTTCAAGCCAGTCAAGCAGAAGAAGAGGTATCTATCAAGTGAAAGAAGAGAGTTCGTGAAGAAGGAGACCACCACCCTCTTGTCGGTAAGACACATCCGAGAAGTGATCTACCCGGAGTGGCTAGCAAATGTGGTACTCGCGCCCAAACCCCCTACGTGGAGGATGTGAGTAGACTACACTGATCTAAACAAAGCTTGCCCGAAGGATCCATATCCGCTACCAAATCCCGACCAGATGGTTGACGAAACGGCCAGTTGTGAGCTGCTAAGTTTCATGGACGCCTTCAAAGGGTACCATCAGATTTTCATGTGCAAGGAGGATGAAGAGAAGACTGCTTTCATAACCCCTGACGAAGTATACTGCTACGTGGTAATGGCATTCGGTCTACGGAACTCCAGGGCCACCTACAAACGAATGGTAAAGAAGTTGTCGAAGGGGTTGCTTGGGTCGACCATGGAGGCGTATGTTGACGATATGCTCGTCAAGAGCCGATCGAAGGAGAGCCACCCAGCCGACCTGACTCGGGCATTCAAAGTGATGGAGACTTTCAACTTAAGCCTGAACCCGAGTAAGTGTGCTTTCGCCGTCCAAACATGAAAATTTTTGGGGTTCATGATGACAGGGCGAGGGATTGAGCCGAACCTCGAGAAGGTTAGAGCCATAATGGAGATGCAACCCCCCGGTTGGTCAAATACGTTCAACGACTGACCGGTCGGCTAGCAGCACTCAGTCGTTTCTTATCTAAATCAGCTGAGAAATCTCTACCTTTCTTCCAAATATTGAAGAAATCTAATGGATTCGAATGGACACCGGCATGTCAATTGGCTTTTGAAGACCTGAAGGCCTACTTGAGCTCCTCACCAGTCCTTTCCAGGCTAGAGAAAGAAGAAACTGTGTTCATCTACTTAGCAGCATCCGACCGGGCGGTCAGCTCAGTGCTAGTTCGAGAGGAAACCAAAGGAGTTCAAAAACCAATCTATTACGTCAGCAAAGCCCTCCAGGGAGCGGAATTGAGATACACCAAGTTTGAGAAGACCGCATTTGCACTCTAGGTGACCGCCAGGAAACTTGCAGCCTACTTCCAAGCTCACTCGGTGGTAGTTTTGACTGACCAGCCGCTCGGAACGATTCTCAGGAACCCCACATCGTCGGGGCGATTGATCAAGTGGGCTATGATGCTTACCCAGTTTGCGATCGAGTACAAGCCGTGCCCTGCAATCAAAGCACAAGCATTGGCCGATTTCATCGTAGAGTGCACTGCGCGAGACCCGGAGCCAGACCGACCGACTGCTCTGGAGGAACCATGGTGGGAAGCCTCTACTGACGGGCTGTCCAACAAGAAAGGATGCGGAGGAGGAATAGTACTCACTTCCCCTTAAGGTTTCAAAGTTTACCAGGCTTTGATTTTCAAATTCCGACCCACCAACAACGAAGCAGAATATGAAGCTCTCATAGGTGGGCTACGGTTGGCCAGACAAATGAAGGCCGACCGACTGAGGGTACGATCAGATTCTCGATTGATAATCGGTCAGCTTTCCAATACGATCGAAGAAAAGGAGGATCGGATGATACAGTACAAGGATATTGCGCAGGAATTATTACAGCAGTTTGATAGGTACGAGTTGATCCAAGTGCCCAGAACAGAGAATACGGACGCCAACATGCTGTCCAAGTTGACCCAGGAAGTCCCAGAGTACGTGTCCAGAATCGCGCGAATTGAAGAGATTGGGTCACCAAGCATTGACATCATTGAGGTCCGACCGGTCAAAATAAGCGAGCCAGATTGGATGTACGACATGAATAATTATATAGCCAATAGCAACCTGCCGAGTGACGTCGCCAGGGCAAAGAAGGTCAGACTAAGAGCACTGCGTTTCCAATTGATCGACGGAAAGCTCTATAAGCGATCATATGGCGGACCACTTCTGAGGTGTCTTACTAGTGACGAAGCCAAAATTGTGATTGAAGAAGTTCATGATGGAATTTGTTCTGCCCACCAGGGACCAAGGATGTTGGCACAAAAAATCATTTTGCTAGGATACTATTGTCCTTCGATTAACCTGGATTGCGAGCAGTATGTTCGTCGATGCGCTACTTGTCAAGAATTACACAAGTTGCCTGGCCGACCGGCCAGTTACTACCAACCAATCACCGAGGTAATACCCTTTGCGAGATGGGGAGTGGACCTAATCGGAGTGTTCCCAATGGCGGCCGGCCGGAAGAAGTATGTGATCGTAGCCATCGACTACTTCACCAAGTGGGTAGAGGCGGAAGCACTTGCAACCATCACCTCACAACAATGCCAAAAGTTTCTCTGGGAAAAGGTAATCACTCGGTTTGCGGTCCCAGTCTACTTGATCACTGACAATGGGACGCAATTTGATAGCCAGCCATTCAAAAACTTTATGGCTCGGCTGGGCATCAGACACACCCGAGCAGCTGTAGAATACCCACAAGTTAACGGACAGGTGGAACACACCAACCAGACGATCCATGACGGACTAAAGAAGAAGTTGCAAAGCGCGGGACTAGGCTGGGTGGAAGAACTCCCATACGTTCTCTGGACCTACAGAACCACTCTGCGACGGGCGACCAACGAAACACCTTTTTTGTTGACCTACGGATTTGAAGCAAAAGTGCCAATTGAAGCATGGCTCCCTACTGCTCGGGAAAAGAACTACCAGCCAGAAGAAAATGACAAGTTGCAAGGTGCAGAGCTCAATTTTATTGATGAGAAGAGAGATATGGCAACACGGAGGGTGATCGAGTACCAGAAGGTCGCCAAGACCTACCATGACGGTCGGGTGAAACCACGCTATTTCCAAGTCGGTGACTTGATACTCCGGCGAAGGGAAGCAAGTAGACCGACCGATCATGGAAAGTTTGCTAAGAAATGGGAAGGGCCCTACAAAGTCTCGACAGTTGTCCAACCCGGCTCCTACAAATTAGAGACCCTGTCCGGTCGACTGATTGACCGAGTATGGAACTCCGAGCACCTCATGAAGTTTTACAAGTAGTGTAGGGCAACTACTATATTGCATGTATTCGGATGGATAAATAGAAATTTTCTCTCTTAACATCATTGTATCATTCCCGTCCCGGTCAAAATGTTTTAAGAAGGACGGCCGGTCGGTCGAAGTATGAGCAGTTTGTTTCCCGGCCCTGTCATTTGAGATTTTGCACCGTCGAATTATCCAGGCCTTACCTGCACGATTTTGTCCGGTTGAGTTTGTGATTGAGTTCACTTGTTTTCCCGGCTCTTTCGTTTGGGGTTTTGCCCGGTCGAATTATCCTGACCCTACCTGCACGATTTTGTCCGGTTGAGTTTGCGATTAAGTTCACTTGTTTTCCCGGCCTTGTCGTTTGAGGTTTTGCCCGGTCGAATTATCCCGGCCTTACCTGCACAATTTTGTCCGGTTGAGTTTGTGATTAAGTTCACTTGTTTTCCCGGCCCTGTCGTTTGAGGTTTTGCCTAGTCGAATTATCCCGGCCCTACCTGTACGATTTTGTCGGGTTGAGTTTGTGATTAAGTTCACTTGTTTCCCTGACCTGTCGTTTGAGGTTTTGCCTGGTCGAATTATCCCGGCCCTACTATTTTACCCGGTTGATTTTGTGATTAAGTTCACTTGTTTTCTCGGCTCTTTCGTTTGAGGTTTTGCCCGGTCGAATTATCGCAGCCCTACCTGCACGATTTTGCCCGGTTGAGTTTGTGATTAAGTTCACTGGTTTTCTTGGCTCTTTCGTTTGAGGTTTTGACTGGTCAAATTATCCCGGCCCTACCTGCACGATTTTGTCCGATTGACTTTTTCAAACCGACCAATACGGTCCCACCCAACCGGTCAGTCGATCGTATCTACTTGTCATTAGCTTTTGGGGCACAAGTGAAAGCCGTACCAATTGGATATCCTACATGGCTTGAGTTCGACTATTACACTTAACCACTAGAAGTGTTCTCTTTGTAGTTTAGCTGATATGTGTTCGCAGGGTCAAGGGCAGTTGATCGGTCGGATCAACACATGAAGAACAGAAAATCACAAGTAGTCAATACAGAGCAAAGGAAACGAGGAACACATAAGCAAAAGAGGCATAGTCTGACCGACACAAGAACGGGTTCGGCCTCCCGAAAACAAGAAGTCAAAAGTCTAAGAAAAATAAAAGCCAACTACATATCACATTGC